TCGAGGCTATTGTATTAATATCCGTACTATGCCATTTGCAACGATCCCTTTTTTCTCGAGGTCAACTGTGCTCAGCAAGCGTTGCCGAGCACAGTAATGTTTATAGTTGACTAGCTGCAACTACCTTTATATAAGATGAATATAACCACAAGTTCTGTGCTCATCAATTAACGCATTAGTTTGGGGGAGGTGATGCTCTTGGGTAATTATTGTGATTTGACATTTGTGAATATTTACGCCTCGAATTTCCCAAATAACAGGAAGAACTTGTTCGCGTTTATATTCCAGTCGGAGTACGCGCATGTTAGCGTGGAGCGTGGAGGATCTTATCGCTAGGATGACATGTTCGCTCTAGAGCCTTGCAAATTCAACAGTAGGCTTACTGAACTTTGCTATTGGAGGTCTATTACTCCCTTGCCGAGCTTATTACGTGCTTCAAGGAAAAGAGTATAGTACGGTTCCGAGCATGACTTCATGTTCACGTCTAACCTCACCGAATCTAACAGGGAGAGTGGCCTTAGTGACAGGGTCCAGTAGAGGGATTGGCAGAGAGTGCGCTTTAGCACTGGCGAGGTAAGCATGTTATCATGGGGCCAACAGTCGCCCCAAGAAGTGAGAGCGTTGCTGCTCTGTGGAGTAGTGCGTTGATCGCTTTTGGAAACATCTGGGTTCCTTCGGAAACTATCCTTATATGGCTGAATATTGAATGGGCTCCTGAGCCCCGATGCAGCGTTGGACCTATCCTTCAGATGTGGAGCCAAGGTCGTTGTTGCTGCAAAAACTGTGGAACCGACGCCTACTCTGCCTGGTGAGTAGGGCCCTTGAATGGTAGTCGTGACGGACGGTGCGAGAAACGCTACTCCTCGGGCAATTCAGTTGAGACTGTTTATTTGCGTTCAATTGTGAAGAATTCCTTTTTCATGTCTGAAATTTCCAGGATTGGTATACAGACAACAGTTCAGTACTCTGCCAGGAAGCTCTCCCGGAAATGATGTCCTGGTCAGCGTAATTGATTCCCATTAACATAAGATCGTCCGCCCTATTCGTAATATAGATATTCTATTTGGAGCCCATCGCCGGAGTGTTTATTACACTCGCTATTATGCCGCACTCGCGTTAACCCAAATTTTTGACTAGCATCCTTGATTGTGCACGGGAACTATTAGTCCGTAGGCATAGTGGCCCCTATATGTTATAGTCCTCCGTGGGCATAGTGGCCCCTATATGTTATAGTCCTCCGTGGGCATAGTGGCCCCTATATGTTATAGTCCTCCGTGGGCATAGTGGCCCCTATATGTTATAGTCCTCCGTGGGCATAGTGGCCCCTATATGTTATAGTCCTCCGTAGGCATAGTGGCCCCTATATGTTATAGTCCTCCGTGGGCATAGTGGCCCCTATATGTTATAGTCCTCCTTCTCCCCTTTCATAGTAGTTGTCCTCCCCCCTGTCTTGCGCGTCATTGCTTTCCATCGTAGTATTGGTAGTGGCGGTGGTGGTTGTAGGAGGTTTGAATGGTACTAATATTCTCCTTTGGGCTTACGACCTTCTCTAGGATTAACACACACATTGACCGAGTTCATGCATGGGGGGTGTCATAAGACTCTTACTACTCAAGGTACAATATATACTGTTGCTCGGGAGATCGAGGAAGCTGGGGGAGTCGCTTTGCCGCTTCAACTAGATCTAAGGGATGCTGAGTCCTGCGAGAAGTGTGTGGCTGCCGTCATTGCCAAGTTCGGACGGATAGATATTCTCATTAACAACGCCAGTGCGATGTGGTGGCATTCTATGGAACAGACTCCCATAAAGAAGTAGTAGGCGGATAATGATACTTGTTCAAGAGTCACTGTCGTGCTTTTTCGACTTGTGTATCCAACCGATGGAGAGAATGTTTGCCAAAATCTCGGTCTGGGAACCTAGTCTCAGAAAGACTTAGCTTCCTAGAGATCTCGCCCACTTTCTTGATTTTGTTACAAATTCTTGATATCTCTACATGTATGGACACGTTCAAACTGAATTCTGTCGCCATTGGCTTCACCTCGGACGATTGTAGTCTACTTTTGAGGCTGCAATTTGTAGCCTCTATAGTGCACATTTCTCGTAGGTTTGATCTGATAACTTCGATCAACAGTAGAGGAAGCTTCATAATGACTAAGCTATGTCTACCACATATGAAAAAGAACAACTATGGTAGAGTCATCAACATGTCCCCTCCTATCAGCACTCACTTTATGAGGTCAGTAAAGGGATGGGTGTCGGAATGGTATGAAGGGAGGTCTATTGTTATGTGGAATTGCTCCCAGCGGATGGGCTCGCCAGCGCGATGGTGCTCTCGGAGATTGGAACTCGCCCTGTGATTTTCCTGATCTCAAGTTACCGTGGTTTGACGGCATATAACATAAGCAAGTTCGGTATGACAATGTCGGCTATGGGAGCAGCCGCAGAGGGACAGGGACATAATGTCACAGGTAAGATGCAACACGGGGCTCGTCTAGTTAGCCGTATCATTATCATCATCTTCAAGCGCGGTTGATTTCTGGGCTGTACTCCATCGACTGTATTTATGATGGTTTTTGTCATTGTGCACATACGAAAGAAATCTTCATGCCATCCTACGGAACATTTTAATCGAGTCGTCAGACGCGAGAGGTTATGTTTATATGCTCTGAAGTTCCAAACCAAAATCGACGCAGACGAACCCAAGGGCGATAGTCAGTACAATAGTGATCAAGGTTTCACTCGTTGTGGCGAATCCCCGTATCTTCCTTTTTGGAAGCTCGCAAATTATCCCGGTTGTTTGATAGGGAACTGTCTGTGGCCTGCAACGGTCGTGGAGTCGCAAGCCGCAACAAATTTTGAATTGGGAAGTAAAGACGATTGGAGGAAATCCACCATTCTAGCGGATTGCGTGAGTCCAATCATTGAAATTTTCATCTATCTTCCGATCACGTACGCGAGCGGGTTTCGAGTTCTCACAGCAGTATGCCTTCTCGCCCATCTTGATTCCCTCCGAAGCTCGGAATCCCAATAACTCTAGGTACTCTGCATCGTCAATGATCCCGAACTTACAGGGGAAATGCTGATCGACGATGAGTATTTGAGGAGCTCCAGAGTTGGTCTTACGCAGGAGGACCTTGTGATCTATCGGAAGAACCCTGCTGTTGAGCCTGTAAGATCGATTTAGTCGTTCAATCAATTCCACATCCTCACTGCAGCGAAGACATCTGGCCGAGGCAGCCCAGAAAGGCAAGAGTTTCGGCGAACGTGTTAGCCGAGGTGACATCCGTCAAGTTGCAGTTGATAAGATGAGATCCATGATATAGCCAAGCCGTTCGCGTTAAGACAGTTTTTATTTCCTCTATACATTATGCATTATAGATCCGGGCTATAATACTATCATACCCTACTCGTCACTCTGATGTATCGTTCAAGGTTTATATATATAACATCCTCATTCAATCTTTTTCTCGAGGTCCTCCACTGGTTGCGTTGTCGTTCGACAATCATCGTGCGGGAGTCTCTTGAATTCGACGTTCAGTTTCCCACCATGATGGTAGATGAAAGACGAATATGGTAGTATCATCCCCAGATGCTCGAGAGTCACACACTGCGAAACGCGAGGGGAAAGTACTTGCACTTACCACCGAAACAAGCATCCCATAAAAACAAGAGCAAAAGCCTTCTGCCGGAGTTGAACCGACGACCTCCCGCTTACTAAGCGGGTGCTCTACCAACTAAGCTAAGAAGGCTTACATTAATTCAAAATCCGTTCTGGGCCAGAAAATTCCTTACAACGAATTCGATTGGTGATACATCAGTGATGTAACATCACCATGAATGTGACCTCTTCCAGATCGTACAAGTCCGTCCACCCCGAGTCGAGTCAACCAGAACTCTCGTGATGAATTGACAATAACCCAAAGTCGTATCTATGATTCAGTGAAGGGTGGTGTTTCGGTTGAATAGTAGCATAAAAACAACAGAAGCAAACAAACAATCCGGTTACAGCCACTCTATAAAACTCGAGCAATTCATCGTCGTTTTCCGAGCAATACCTGATAAGACGGTTAATCAGTACAATTGAAAAGAGGCCCCAACGAATGTACTGCAGTAGACGACTTAGCCGTAAACAAAGAGACATTCAAAACGCTGAGATGATCATAGGAGATTTTACATCCTTTGCTTCATTAATCTTGGAAGCTATGTAAGTACTTCCACCTCGATCGGGATGGTTGGAAAGCAATAGTTGTCGGTGATGCTGAGTAAGAAGACAAAAAAGTAGACGTCTCTTTGAAGAGGCGACTTACCTTTTGAATATTATCTCTGCTGAGCTGAGTCTGCCCCAAATTGAGAATCTTGCGGGCTTCCGACTATACAAGAAAAGAGGAAAATTCATAGAATGGTGGTCAGTATTCACTCGCGTTAGAGCGACCGAGACAGTGTTGTAATTAATAAAATATCATGTAAATGTCGCGGAATCTAAACGACTCAAACTACCCATTACGCTCGATAAAGGCTTATCGATATGGAAAGTATATGCATGAGAGTTCAAATATGAGCTTCGCAATAGAATGTTCTGTAGTCATTGGCATACTACTTGTGATAACTCAATGGATTATACGTCGGCGAATACTTGTGAGAGTACTTCGAATTGGATAAGAATTCGTGATAGAGCTCTCCAACACAATATGCTTATCTACGATTTACCGGACCGTCGCAGGAATGTCACGAAACGACTTAAAAAGAGCTGACGAGAATTTTCTTTTACTACCAACAGAGGAATTCCAACGGGAAATTCATCCCAAATCGAAGGGAAATATTAATTGATAAATATTGGATTATTTGACTCATCGATCACTAGTGAATATTTACATCATATTCACTTAGCATCGTCATAGCAGATGTATACTGCAACATGCTAAGAAGCAGGCCTCTACGAGAGCGATATTTTCCAAGGCGGAAAAAAGGAGCACGTTATCGTCTACTACTACCAATAAACTTTATCACATATTTGATGGTTCACCCCTGTAGTTGACAATGCACATATTTTCCCCACCGAAGAAATACTATATACTTATTAAGATTGTAGTTTCACCAGTGATGTGAAAAACACATTTCACATTTCACTTCGCGTAAAACGCGTGAAACTCCATGATATTACTCGTGACATAGTTTGTTCGAATCCTTCAAGCCCCCTCATGTTAGATAATTGAAACAACCTCGATATCCTCGGCATGCTCATACCAGCTGCACTGGCGAATCGTATACCTGTTAGGATCAACTATCGAAATGACGTCAACCCAGAGTTTGATAACAACAATAGGGAAAACAGTGTTGGAATATATGTTCGGTTTCCTCAGCTGCTGAGCTCAGGAGTTTCCTCACCAATAATAGGAGTTCGCATACGGATTCACGTAAAATTGTAGAGAAACCAATAAGAATTCCCTCAAGTTTCCTCAGAATTTCCATATCGGCACCTACACATGTAGTTGACCATTTGCATATTTTTCCGCACTGGGGAGAAAATAATGTTACTAATGTGATTATAACATTTACATGGGAAACTGTTCGAAATTATACGGAAAATTCAAAATGAACACTATACATTTCTGGACGATTACCTGTATGGAAACAGGACGCTACGATAATCGATTTTACATTAATTGTATCAGATAAAATATGCAATACTATTTGTACTAGTAAATTCGGGTACTTTATCACTTTAGTTAGAGTGTTACTCGCATATTACAATAGTACAAATATACCTTCGCTTTCCTCAACTGTTTTCTCACTAATTATGGAGATTCACATATGAATTCGAGTAGAAGTGTTCGGAAACCAAGAAGGACTTCCAAAAATTTCCTCCCAGAATTTTCATATTGTCATCATCACCAACACATGTAGTTGACAACCATATGCATATTTTCCTAAACTGTGCAGATGCGAACGAATTAATTATAATTTTAATTAACTACTAATTCGAATGCATTTTACGGATAAAAACTCCATCGTTTTCAAAATGCGTTCGGCAAAAATTTTTCGGCATTTTTTTCCTTTTTCCGCAAAATTTTTCCATAATCTCATACCACACCTCCAGAGTATCTCCCAGTGCATATTACCTTGTCGTACGGCCAATGCTCCAACTCCTACTCCGAATAATAAGGGTAGCATTATATTTCGCGAGGAATATAAATCGATTACTGCGGCGCGCGCGACTCGTAGAAAGGCTGTTCTACGTACCACACTGGAATACGAGACAGCCTTGTGGATAGCTTCGAAAAATTCAATAGGTTGCTTGAGCCCGCGCTATTTGCAACATCTAGGCTTTATTACAGAGGGCCTCAGTATATCTGTGTAGGATAGGACTGTGCTCACATAATGGTTCCCGAACGTAATCGATTATCTGGGCGAGCGCTATTTGTAACACGTAATTGGTATCTTGAGTAACGGTTACTCTTGTAGTGGAGAATGAGGAAATGTATATTCCTTTTATTTAATCGTAAGCGCATTGTGTTGTCCTAGTAGTGGTGGTGAATCTGTATTACTCGCCTAGTGTAATTTATGGGTATTGAATGTATTCGTATTCTGATTACATCCCTTCATGTAGTAGTACTTATGCATAGATTTTCACAAAGCATTTGTTCATACATCGTTATCGATAGTTCTTACTAGGTAACAGAGGGTCTCGTCTCACCATCACAATTTCTCAGATTAACCTTAGACTGTGTATACAGATGAAAACCTCTTCCTAGATAGTCCACACTATATCTAGGAGATGTCTGAGTAAATCTGAACATGAGCATTGCAAGTGTACTGCATTCAAGGGTCGGTGAATCTTAGCGCACAGGGAAGATTTATATAATATCAGTTGTGATTGTTTGTTCTCTTTTTATTGCTATTGCTACAGCGGTGTAGCTACTGAGTGTACGTTAGCAGGGTATAGGTAGTAGTAATAGTGAATTTGCAAAGGATGGGTTGCAGTTCGTCAATACCAGAAGTGGCGGAGGAGGGAATGTACAGTGTGAAGGTTAGCGGAGCGAAGCGAGTTGAATGTAACGAATTGTATGAAGTTAATAAATGTGATCATTCGACAACAGAAGAACAGTCGAGTGAGGAAGGGGAAGGTGATAATGACGGAGAGGTTGCGGGTTCGATTTTATCGTGTGGTATTTTATAAGATATGAACGTTTTAAAGAGGGATATTTCTTCCGGATGAGATTCCGTTGCTTTAATCGTCTGCTGAGTAGATGATCTGCGTGAGTAGTATTCAACTGTGTTGATATTTCAGGAGCCGTGGTTACGAATCCGGCACAGGTTCCAAACCTGGTGGGAGCATCTCCCACCTCGGTTATTAAAGAATGTCCTCCCAAGAGGGGACATGGCAGTAGGGGCATTGATGTAGAAGATAGAATGTGGGTTAGATGTGGATCTGCTACGAGTAATAAGTTACTACTATCGCCGGTAAGGCACCTGTTATAACTAATAACAGATCGCTTCTTGTTGGTGATTTTTATCACACAACGATTTTGGAGTGTATTTTATTACTCATTTCTCCACTACGTTTTTGTGATATTTTTTCCGTCAGATTATTGCCCTCCACCTCCACCGCTTCCCATGAGGCAATCCTTCTCGTCGTCTCCACTCTGTACCATACTCGAGGACTCTCCTTTATCAAGTCGACAAATGCACTACTACTATGCATCTAGGAGTACGGGTGAATTAATGGGCGCGCGGTCATCGTCACGATCTGTGGAATTGAGGAGATCATGCAGTGGGGGGTTGCCTCATCATCATGAGAGGCGAAGACGAGATCACCATCGAGCACCTCCGCGATATCGTTACTGTGCGGAAAGGGTAAATCCAGCGGTTAAGGTGGCGTAAAATTTCTACAGTTGCGGAATAATTTACACAGTTGTTTATATTCATTTGCTACTGGTCTTACCATCTTTCTCAGTGGAAAAGTTTTTCACGATTTGTATCAGAAACCGATTCGAGTTGGCTGAAGGCTGACCGTTCATTGCACTAGTCAAAGATGCTATGTTGTGCATGCGTGCAAGTTTGCTAGGACAGTGAGCATTGTTTCTGTGTATTGTTTTGTAATAGTACTATTATTCACTACCTATCTGTTTAGAGCTACGCGATGTATGTTGCTAGAGATCTTGAAATCTTAAGCAGTCTCGCATTTCCTCAACGCCAACCACCTGGGGCGTTATTTTAGTTGTTCCTTGCTATTGCTGGTGCTACTGTTGTGGCTGATATCGTCTCATTCAAACGAGATGTATCGTACTACTGCCTTATTGCGTTAGTGGGTTGATTGGCGGTT